CATTTGAAAAAAGCGACATTACTCTCGGAACGACCTAATAAATCTGGGTAACTGAACCAATTTTATGGGCAGTGAGTGGGAGTAAACTAAGGCATTTGTCCCAAGTGGAAACTTAAATGAATTCGGATTGAAAAGCTCAACTCTCCAAAGCCCAGACCATGGTGCACGCACCACGGTCTGGACTGGAGCTCGCTGATTGTTCCGTTCATTTCTTGACCTCCCAATCAGTCTTCATATAATAACTCAGTTACTAATTTGCCCTTTACATCAGAGACATATTGTCTGCGCTCATACCTCGCGAATACGATGTATTTATGCTTCAGAAGTACATCCCATTCATGTTGATCATAATTTTGTAGTTGTTCTCCAGTGACCATACACCAATCACGATTGGGATTGGCTTTCGGTTGTGATTGGCTGACAGAAGTTGCAGAGCCCTAAAACGCAAACTAATCAATCAGTACGGTTGTGTGCAATCTTTTTCTGAGAGAGAAGAGGGGAATACAAAGAAGGGGCGTGATTGGGGCGGAGCTGTTTATACAGGTAATCGTGCTCCAGCTTTTTCGAGCAGGTTCGCTCTTCTGATAGAGAACAAGCCGCTGCACAGTAAAAACTGGGTCAAGTGCAAGGTGTGTTTTCTTCTTTTTCTAATAACTATTCGTTAAAACTCGGTAAAATTGCGACAGTAATGTTAAGGCCCCGCCCACTTTTGTGCCAATGGTGCCAGGTTCCAACGGCCAAGCCTCTCATCCTCACGAACCTAATGAACAAGTACGATCAGGTTTGTTTCATATCAGGATTGTTTGTGTCGATCAAGATGTTTATTATCACTGCATAAATTTCATTCTACCCATTTTTCCAGATTAGTTTCTACCCACCACGCATAGCAACTGGTCTGCTAACGCTCTTAGTAGTAAGCTGAGGCATCTTCGTCAAGGATGGCCTTTTGGCACAAGAATTGTTTTCCAGATGCGCGTAATCTACATCATTAAAGCTCTACAAATCATCGTGGCTGTCGTGGTGCTATTCCGTCTCATAAATATCGGGAAATTCTGTGAAAATCGTCGAGTCCATGTAAGAAAAATTGAGTTTTTTTTGCGGTGGGGGTGTAGTTCATTGTGATGATTTTCAGTCTCGCGGCGAATGTTTGGGCACTATGAAGCTTGCAATACCACCTTTGAATACGGTAGGTCATACTGTACACTTGATAAAGGCTTTGGAACAGTACTTTTACTTTTCTATCATTTCTCCTCTTGAGTGAAAGGAAAACTGACAATAAGTTGTGTCTTCTTTGCGTTGCCCAATTGTTTTTTTTTTCAATTCTATAAGAATGAGAAACTTATTCGTTCAGGATCTGAGTTTACGTGATGCTGAAAGAAGTCTAAAGACCGGAGCTGAACCGGATCGACACCGAAGAATGAGTGTGGTGAGTGATTGTATGATAGTGATAACGGATGAGATATGCGAAGGTTTTATACAAGTAGCTGTCTAAAGTCGAACAGGTCGATCATCAAAGAAACCAGCAAAGAAACCCTTTATTTTAATCCACCGTAATCGTTTGTAAAAGTCAGCGCTGTTTTAGAATTCCATTTTGTCTTAAATATTACAGTACAATTTGTAACAAACCACAAACTTAAGTGAAAATTTAATAGGCCTTAGTTCACCTAAAATTAAAGTCGAGTCATTTGTAACT